TGCCGGCGACTGTTTGACAAGGTCTTATAGCGTTCCTGTGCGCAGCACCTGACTTCATTGCGATATTAAACAAGATAAAAGCTAGTGGTTAAAATCTATCGCAGCCTGTACATGATAATAGTATAATTTGCTTACCAGTCACTTATGGTGTTATGGTTATTAATCACAATTTCCCAACATTTAATATAAAGCAGCAAGCTTAAATTCCTTAGTGACAGTCACCAGTATGTATTCAATTATTATAAAGTAGAAAGTATTGATTCATCAGGGGGCTCATTATGCAAGCATGATTCCTCCCTAATGCCTTAGTTTGAATGTTTTAGATGAACTCTTTCTTTTATGCTATGGCGCATAACTGTCTGATTGGTGTCCTAGGAATTGGAAATCGATCTTCCAACGAGTTGCAGTAAAGACTTGGTTTTGCCAAATGATTTCAGTTTATTTTATCCCCGAATAAGAATTGAGTCTGCCTCAACTCGTATAGGAGATTCTTCGATAGTCTAAATCTACCACAACTATGCAGCGCTTATCGGCCCTATCCGAATTTCGCAGTTATAATTAAGTTTAAAATGTGAGAAATAAAACTTCAGATTTTCAGATAAGAGGCTTTTCCCTATGGTTTCTCAAATAAATAAGGAAATAACCGTGACAAATGACCTCGACGTCACGACGTCGAGGGCCGCAAGCCGCAAAGGATATGGTATTTTAGAGAGGTCCAGGAGTTAGAACTTCTCCCTGCATAAACCCTTGCGTAGTATGAATGTCGGTTTCTGGTTGGTGCGAGAGGTCAAAGTCTGATTGGTCCTATGGCGAGATATGATCAGTCAGCGCAAAGTAGGAGTACAGTTGAGAGTTGGAGTAGAAATGTGATAACTTATATTTTTAGTAGAGGATCGCAATGTTCTCGTGGAGGTAATAAGTATATCAGGGTGACTGAGTAGGAGGTAGAGATGGAAATTAACCTGAGAATACTAATTCAGCAAGAGTCCTTATACAGGGACGCAGAAAACTACAAATGAATAACTAAATAGTACTTCAAACGGATAAAAGATTAACAGTGATAATAGGGGGAAAACATTGAATTGAAAAAATTGGAAGTCTAAGAAGGTAAATGAGATATTAGCAAACACCATTAAGAATTAGTATGCATTTTCGCAAAAGGAGTAAGAGCAATGGGTGGCAGGAATAGAGCTGCTAACAATTTTTGATGTAAAATTTATGTATACAAGTAACGGCCTTGTTAAAGGTATTTGAACGATGAGTGAATATTCTGAAGGTTGAGCAGATAAGAAAAAATAGTTAACACAAATAATCAACTTGGCAATAAGGACCATACACTTCACAGTTGACGCTGATTTAAACTAGAATAATAATAATAATACTTCGAATTCAGGATTATTTGAGTGTATATCTTACTTGCCGACTCGCCCTGGCCTTCTTCTATCACCCCAGCGCCAGCTGCTGCAGATGCGAAAGTCATACGTGGCTGACCACTGCTTGTGGTGGACACAGTCGAGTAGACTCCCGCTGCCGAACCAGAGGTTCTTTGGGGCCCAGAAGGATAACTATAAATAGGGGCAGCAGAGCAGTCAGCACCAGGATTCGGCGGGATTAGTCTATAGATTAGAGTTTAGAAGAATAAAGTTTACAAAAAGAGTAAGAGGTCCATTAGCAAAGAAATGAGTAATAGGTTCATCCGCCATCGAAATACCGACTTGAAACACTCAGGTATACCTATCCATATCTGCATGCCAGTTCATCAGAGTAGCAGGATGGTGCGCTCAAGGACTGTAACGATCAGAAAAACGGCGAAAACTCCAAAGAAATCTTCCCGTAATTTTGAATCAATGTGTCTATTAAAAACGACAAATTGTATTCAAAATATAATCGTGTATTTTGTGGAAAGATATTAAAATTAACGCATAAGCGAGAGGTAGTCGCGGTAAATCCATTATAGGACTTTGACCCCGGCAGGTCACTCTGGTGATCCAGGGTACAATAATTTAAAAAATAAGGCTATAATTATCCACAATTGTTTGCCATCTAGCTAACATGCCATGGTTCCAAGAAGCAACCTAACATCACGTATCTCGTTATTATCATGTAAGGAAGTAATAGATACGAATCCGGACGTAAAAATATTAACGAATATCAGAATTGGCAAAT